GGTTGGTCGCGTGGCCCTCTTCAGTTCCACTAACACACCGACTCAGCGACCTGTACAAGCAGATGTCGTCCGCCATGACTGGGGATATAAAGGATTGCTTAGAATACTGCGACGTGCCGAAGAAACAACTCTTTGCATGTTTNAGAGACAATTTCAGTTTTCCTACAGCATACACGGCAATTGTGACTATCGAACATCACCATTGGTCACGCCAAGCGCTATAACTATCGCAACTTAACAATCGGCGTCAATATTCATTGCATTTTTGGAAAGTAATGAATCTGTGCTACAAAATGGCATATAACATTCCTCCCAATTTTTATACATGCAACGAAAAGAATTTCAATTAATTTAGTATATATGCCAATTGTGACTACTGAACATTACCATCGATCACGCCAAACGGCGAACGGCATAACTGTCGTAACTTAACCAATGGCGTCAATGTCTAAAACGTTTTCCAATATTACTTAATCTCGGCTACAAGACGGTATAAATCTTCCCTGTCGGGTGGATAACAATTCAAATTATTTCTTGAAGCGAAATCAAAAATCTCGAACAGATCTTGATTGCTAGCGAATCTATACATCATGTTTTTGTTCTCCTCGATCTACGCTTCAAAATGGTACATAAACTGTCCGCATTCATTCCTGTTCAATGAGTAACAAATTCACATTTCTGAACATATGAAGTGAAAATCCGAGTTCCTTCAATTGGCGAACTGTGCCTCTACCATATGAGATTAGCGATTTTGGCAAGAATGGCACCACTCCCGAGGAGCTGTCAGAGCATAGAAGCGATTTTATGCACACTTGACGATTCGTTGCTGGGATTGTGCTTTGTTCGAGCACTTATCAAAATTCGTGCGGAAACGTGACTTTAGCCTGACCAGATCGAACTAGGTTTGGGTTTTTTATAGTTTAGCTGGTGTAGTTTGAACTAGTTGTGGTTTCGTTTAATAACATTTTATTCGCATGTCAATATGTGTAATGTAGTATAATACAATCTAATACTATCTGGCGAATATACTACCCCAACTATTGTTGGGGAGGAGGAAAAGATTTTAAAACAGGCAAAGGAGAACAACAATTTAAATATATTATCCTGCAATGCTAGTGAGGTTATAATATTGCGGTTGTAACATATTATGATAATAACATGAAATATTTTTGCCTTAGCGACCCTCATAACTCCCGTAAGTGGTGAGTATTTCCATATTCAAAACGAGCTAATTTTGTAGAACTTTTCAAGCTCTACTAAATGTACACAATCACTTTGCTCAAATCTTCTTCCTTCACCCCGAAATTTGGTACTACATAAATGAATAGTGATCGTTCTCTCCTTATCTCACCTCGCGCGATGCAGTAGTGACTCCGCCCTCCTTCCGCCCACACGCGCATATGGCGAAGTGCGTACGCACCAAATGTTTGCCTGTTTTCGTTTTGCATGATGTCATATTGTTGGTCATAATATGATGAAATCAGTCTCAGGTGATTAAAGAAACGAATATCACTATGAGACACCTCGTTCGGATGAGGAATGAGCTTATTTATAATGTTGAAGTATTTGAGCTGGTGAAGTATTCGAGATCGAATTGGAATGAGCAGTCTTATGTTGCTGGAATAGGTCAAGTTTTATTCAAAATCGATATTTCTAGCGATTAAATTATGTGGTCCCGTGGATTACGAACAGCTCATTTATGGACTCGAAGGACACTGATCGGGGGAACAGCGGCGTTTCACTTGGCAGAAAGTAATGAAAAGTCTGATCAAAAATTGAAACTTGAGGAAACAACACAACATCGTAACATGGGTGTTTTTACGAGAAAGGTGAATTGTTGATCGTAAAACGTCAAATTCGAAGTATTTTGAAGGTATTATATAAATGCTTGTGTTATGCGGAGATGGAATATCAGGCATTTTAATTGTATTCTGCTTTGACATCCTCCTCTGGGATGATGTTTTATTCGCATACTAAATTAATAACAATTTCGATTCTGCAAAAATGATGAATACATATGCAGTTAACGGAATGTGGTGGGGAAGTGTGACGGATAGTCTTATCTGCTTTGTAAAGAAAGCATTGGATAATCGCTCTCCATAATGTAACTTCGGTTGTAGAAAATTATAATTGAATGACACTTAATCGCAGTTCAGGTGGAGAGTGATGCGGACAAAACATTGTTGAATGTTCGTTTATATCAGTATCAAACATGTCCATTTTGTTGTAAAGTTCGTGCAGTTCTTGATTATTACGGCTTTAATTACGACATAATCGAGGTCAATCCCATCACCAAAAAGGAAATACAGTTCAGTCCACATTACAAAAAGGTTCGATAATATCTTATCAGTTAGTTCCATATTTGAACCGAATTTGAGTGGTGATTTTTAGAATGTTTCTGAATCTTTGTTGATCACTTGCAATTTCTTTCTGATCATGAATCAGAAAGAATCAAAGCGAGAAGGATTTTTAGCTGAATTTTCTTGCTGCATGATGATAATAACGATAATAAATTATATTAATATTAATTGGTTGAAGGTACCAATATTAGTGACTGGTGATAAAACTGAAGATGCTGAAATACTGGTTGAATCCTCGTTAATTGTATCGATTCTCAGCACATTTCTTCATCGCACCAATTCATCTTTAAACGAAATTCAGCAATTTTATCCGCAGTTAGATTCAGTGGATCCAAAAACGAATAAGAAAATAATTCAGTATCCAAATAAATATTTCATCATGTTTGATGATAAAGATCAACTTCACTCCGATAAGCAAATCGTGCAGAAATCAAGGTTTCACACCGCTTTTTTGTAATCTCCCACATATTTTGTTGCAATAACCTTTTTTGGATTAATTGATCCTTGGTGCTTCTTC